CAGGTACACGTCATACAGTTTACTATATTGTCATATTATCATATTATCATGTTCTTACACTATCAAAATTCCATTGTTATGTTATCAAAATTCCATCGCATAAATTCTATTTAGGTATATTTTTCATATTATAGAAAATGATCTAATTACCATGTAAGATATATATCAACCTGTCTAGAAAAACGTTTCGCGTCATTTATATATCCTTTGCATTTGTGCATTTCTTGAAGTTTTTAAATGAAATATCTGCAGATAACGGACAGTTGTCAAGTTCAAAATCCACTTAATAATAGAAAATAGGAGCAGAGGAAAAACGGACCTCTTAAACATTGGAGGTGGGACCAGGTTTCAAAAAGGAGTGCGATCCCCTGCCGAACGGTCGCACTCGCCATGTGCTCCTTGTCATTAAAAAGGAAAAAATGGAAAATTCCGTCGACAATTCAGTGTTTAAATAATGGCCTAACAATTAGTATCAAGAACGTCCGTCAGCATTTGACTCAATGATATGTTATATTCGCTGACAAGGTATATTTTTATACCTCATTATAAATATTCTAAAAGACGCGTTATCTGATTGGTTCTACGTTAGAACGTGATCGGGTCGTAAAACTTCATATTTCCCGGCCGTCGGCATGCTTTTCATCATATTCCACCTCTTCGGATACTTAGTGCATTTTCCCGCAAAAATTATCGTTCGTTTAAAGAAAACTCTCGAAAGTATAGTAGACGTCATAATAACCTGGTTTACGTCATAAAATTGATAATAATGTGTTGACCAAAGAGTTTTAGTAACGTTTGTTAAAAATGAAATTAAAAATGTATTTGAGAGCGGTGCCGAATTTTAAAGTTTATGTTTATTTCAAAGGTTTTGCTTGTTTCGGTATAATAAACAATTCATTGCATGAATGTTCAGTAAACATGAAGACTTATTCAGCCAAGAAATATGATTTTTCTTGGCTAAATAAGTCTTCATATTTCCCTCACTATCATGCAATAAATGTATAATAGTATCGACCGTAGAACTTACGAAATGATGACTATAAACGAGACTGCAGAAATTCTTGTTTCATCAACTTGTTTGTCAATAATTTACCTCGTTTTAGAAATCGCACTTACGTTAACCATCCTCTTGCGTATCGACTTAGTTGAGAGTTATAAACTCCGCATGCAGGAGAAAACAAATGGAAGTAACTATTGTTAATTGACAGTACGTCGTCGATATATCTAAATATCGAGTTGAAGGCCACAGCAATGGCTTTCTTCTTTTCATGTATAGGATTTTGGACAAATTAAGCTTCATATGAATTTAAAAAGAGGTCTGCTAATAAAGGGGTAAAATTGATAACCATGGGAATTCCAATAGATTGTTGGAAGACCTGGTCTCCAAATATAACATAGATATTAATATCTGGCATAATCTTCAATAGAATCCACAATATTAATGAAATTTCGACGCTATTTTCAGAAAAATGAGAGTTCCCTATATTTAAGACCTCTTCATTAAAATTATCAGTGATTGTACTAAAAATGAGGACCATTTATCAGATTCTTGCGTTTGGTTACTGATAAACCTTAAGGAAGGTCCATACTTTTACGGATCCGGTTTTACTTTTACACACCAATATAAAATTCCGATTATCACTTATCTGCTGAAAAAATCTATTTGGATGATTGAAAATAATTTAGCAAGTATGTATTTGTTTATTTTAATGTAATTAAGCATTAAACATCGTTAATTGTGGAAATTTGAACACTTCGCACTCTGTCCGTAGGAACTATATGTCATTTGGTAATATACCGACACAAAATTCTTAATTGCCTTTATGGACCTAATGCTTTTTAATTTTTTTCAAACAAACTAACTTGAGATCTATTTTGATTGATTTTAAAGCCTATATCATCTTTTTAAATTTAACTTCTTATTTATTTATTTTATTTATTTATTTATTTATTTTTTTTTTTGCCAAAAATGATTGACAAATTGATATTTTTAAAAAATATGGGAGTATACGTGTTCAAAAGCCTTTTTTGTTAAATTTATCTGGTAGAACATAATGAACTATGTGTTTTTGTTAACCTTAGATATAATTCTTAATATTTTTAAAGAAAAAATGGCATCTAAACAATTTCGATTTTGAGAAATATTAAAAATAAAGAAATTTTGAAAGACGTGGGCACATTCAACATCAATTTGTTAAGGTTTTCCAGTAAAGATTTCAAATATTTTATTGGCAAATGAATATTTCTGATTTTCATAAGTTTTAACATAAATAAATGTGATTTGGTGCATAGCTAAATGAAATATGATATCTCACTTCTCTATATAAGATCAATTTTGGCTGTTGAACTTTTAAAGGTATGTACTCTGAGACATGTTGTATGAAAATTCACCTGCAAAGATATGTCTTTTTTTGGGTGTTTAGTTAGTTTATGACTTATCTAAGGTATTCAAATTAAAAAATTCATAGTTTGACAGAAAATTTTGAAAGTACGGACCAACCTTAAATCACTTGACTCAACACTTAGAGAATGATTCAGCTGTGTAACATATATGGGAATTTTAATATTTGATAATTTATTAATTAGCTGTGAATCTACCTGCACCAGGAGCTTATTTGCACATCTGGTATAATCTCCACTCATTATTTGACAGACTACACCCTACACCACAAATAATGCAACACCTATGCTGTAAGCCAGGCTAGCTTAGTGGGAGCAGCTTGCGTTTATTTTGATAAAAATACATAAATATTGTACATACATAACATTGTATGTAAAAACAATAAAGCAATGCAATGTATTTGTAAATTATTTTATGTGTAATAAATTATACCTCTATCACAGACATTAAAAACCGCCCAGGCAAAAACCATAGACGGATAACTATGGAAAACGTGTCCGTCGCTATGTAAATAATGTCTCAAGGGAACATCCAGACGTGCATTTGGTGCAGTACTTAAAAATACATAAGTATCCTATAATATTTGCAAAATATTTTGTATGAAAAAATCGGAATTAAAATACATTCCAACAATAGTGTTACTTCCATTATCGGCATATTTATACAGGCATAATATATTATATAAAGCAAAAAAGCACGTGTGTGTATTGAATAGCACTGGCTTAGAATGACTTGAACACCGTACTGAATACTGCTTTCTCATTGGCCTTTCTTTGTCCACGCCTACCATATACAGGCAAAACCATTAAAATACGTTCCTATCATACAATGTTTTCCCGCTATACTACGAAACGCAGGAAAACACTATTATACAGATCATATAATTAGTTAGGATAAGTGTGTCTAACTCAGATTCTTGATTCATTCCAAGGTTTAATATGATATAATAGGCAATGTAGGAAGAACTGTTCTTAGAATGTTCCGGTATATCTATTTCTTTTTATATCATATCGAAAATTCAATACCTGCTTAATTTGTTTCAAATTAATTGGTGTTTTTTGATCTCAGTAAATATCATGTACAGAGTGGAATACTTGACTTGGATCCTATATATCTAATAAACACGAGAATAAGATGGAAAGAAAAATCGAAAGTTTTATCGCAGTTTTTACAAATGTCACAACGTGAAAGCAGGCACATAACAACATGGACGCCAAGGGGCTTTTTTTCAAGCATTACCTTAACTACTGAAAATATTCATTGAAAGGTTGCCCCCCCCCCCCCCCCCCCTCCCCCACTTCTTACCAAAGTAAAGTGACATTAAGGGAATGTAGTATTGTATGCAAAAAAAATTGGAAGTGAAAGGACTTTGGCATTGAAATTCTTGACTTGGATCCTATATATCTAAATAATAAACACATTTGTCACACTGCGAAGCAGGCACGTAACAACATGGAGGCCAGGGGGCATTTTCCCAACATGACCTGTAGTATTGTATGCAAAAAATTGGAAGTGAAAGGAAGCTGGCATTGAAAAGAAGTTGGCTAGTACCCCCCCCCCCCCTAAGCATCCTTTAAGATGATTATGCTGAGGTTTTCTGTGAAAAGGGTAACAGGGAATACTAGGAGTACTAGTAACTGAAATTGCTTATTAGTTTGGATGATCTTTCTGCATTACTTACAGATCAAATTTCTTATAAGCTGAAGTAAGAGGAACTGACGTTGATCTGTTTTTTCAGTTCCTTTGACTAGCTGATTTGCAGATTATTATTATGTTCGATACTCCTTTCGTTAAAATAAGATAACCACAAAACATCAAACCGTTTGACGGTTTAAGGATGTATATTGCTCCTTATATCCTTTTCATTACAATTTTTTGTAAACTAGATGAGTTTTTGTTACACGCTTTGTCTTCCGGAATCATAACATGCTCAATTCGGCCTCTAATTCAATCATAATCTCCTATTTATTGAATACGGAAGTATAAATGGTTCGCATATTGCCTGTAGCTTACTATTGCGATGTTTAAATATATTTTATATGTATATATGTTAATTATTAAATCCATTCTGACAAAGTATCAAGGTCTTCCTCTTCATTTGCATTTTTTATTCTACACTTTTCATATATTTCTATTGATTTTTTTTTGGATTTTTGTGAATAGTAGACGGCAGTTAAATTTTTCTTCTTGTTTATCTGTGGAATGTACACCTCACTGCCAAACAATTGTATAAGAAACAAACAGGAAACTAACAAAATAGAAAAAAACAAGGAAATAATTGTCAATTTCACAATTACTGATGAAAAAAATCAGATAGCATTTATGTTTTTCTAAAACTTAAGGTAAGCTGCAATTTTATTATATGAAATTATGATTAGTATAGGATTTAACAAAATTTCACTATTTTTTTTTTTTTTTTTTGCCAAAACTGCATATAAATTAACACTTGTATTGAAAATCAACATTCATCATACATAAGCATTAAGTATTAAACTATCATCCTTTATTTTTATTCATTGTTGTCTGACATTCAATTTGATTTTAAAAGCGTTGCTTTTCTAAACAAAACAGCAGTTCTTGGAAACTTACTGTTATTTTTTTTCAGATATACGTCTGAATTAAAGTGAGATATGAAATTCATATACATTCTGTTATCATGCTGTGCATTTTCTCTGAATAAAGGTGATGAAATTTTTCAAATTAATAATTTACTAATCATTCTTTCTCAATATTTTTTTTTGAATGTGTGAAAATATTCAAACTAAAGCTCATTTGAATATACATTCGAAGATATAGTGTAGGTCTAATCAACATTCTTGTTCTGTTATATAGTGGGATTAAAATGAATGCCTTATGACAAAGCATTCGTTTCAAAAATTCGTATTCGTATTCAAAAAAATATGAAAAAAAAAATTATCTCTTAATTATTCTGCACACAAATATATTTCAAACAGGATTGATAACAAGTAAGAAAACAGAAATGAACTGGTATGAAGCTCAAGAAAATTGTAGACAAAAAGGAGGTATTCTACCAGATTCAGATGATATAACAAATTCCCTAAGATGGGCCGGGAAGTATCGACGGATTTCTCTATTGATAAAGATATTAGGTATTTAAATAAAATAAAATTTCGATCAATATTTGAATATAATTGTTTCCTTTATATATCTTTTGTTATCTTGTTCTATACGTTTGTGGTTTTTAACATGTAAATAATTATTGTGTAAAGATACATAAGTACATGAGTGGTAAATATTTACTAAATTTTTTTTTTTTTTTGAAACTTATAGAAGTATAAAAAAAAATCAATGTTTTGTGAATGTGTTTACTTTTAGGTTGTTATAATGATAGCTTTGTACAATCAACGATCCCAACGAATGCATATAAAATGAAAACTCCATCTGCAGGATATTGCCAGGAGATATGTCTGTCATTTGATTCATTTGTTTTTGCCATAAAGGTAGCGATTGTAAAATATTGTTTAATTGTGTATCTTTTTAATGGGCATGAGTATTCAGAGATTAAATCGAATTTATTATTAATACTGTAAGTAATGTTAACAGATACATGTATTTATGATTTTATATGTTATCTTTTATATTTATGTAATATTTAGTTATATAGTTTTGCAGATTTTTATGCGTCCGGATGATAGATCCGAGGCGTATATTGTTTTTGTCCTGTCTGTTTGTCTGTTTATCTGTTTGTCTGTTTGTCTCTATGTCTGTCTGTCTGCTGAAAACTTTAACCTTCGCCATATCTTTTGAACCTTGAGATATAGAGACTTCATATTTGGTATGCATACTCCACTAATAAAGTTCTTTCAAAAGACATCAAGGTTAATGACCTTGTGACCTTGACTGTGACTTACATGCTAAAAATAGCTTTTTCAAACTTTTGCCGTACCTTTCGGAGCATAGGAGATAGAGACTTCATATTTGGTATGTTTACTTCACTAATAAAGCTCATACAAATGACACCAAAGTCATTGATCTTGTGACCTTGACTGTGACCTTAATGCTAAAAATAGCCATTTTCGAATTTTTGCCAGAAATTTTGAACCATAGGAGATCTAGACTTCATATTTGGTATGCATACTACACTACTAAAGTTCTTTCAAATAACATTAATATCAATGACCTTGTGACCTTGACTGTGACCTATTTGCTAAAAATATCTTTTTTGAACTTTGTTGCCGCCGGGCGCATAGTGTTTCACAAACACATCTTGTTTTGTTACATTTTAATCTAAGGACAATGAGTGTAGATGTTTAGAGGAGATACCACAAAAAGGAAATGCTTCCACATCGTTATGTAATGATACATCTTGTGAGCGAGATGAAGAGCCTTACTTTGATGACTGTGGAGGCAAAGAAACATATTCTGTATTTCAATCAGGTATTTTTCTGATGGTTACATGTCTTGTATTAAGATTCATAAACCCTCTGCTCACTCTTATAAAGTGTTTCTTTAACTTTAAATTTCTTGAAAAGGAAATATAAATGTTAAGTAAAAATTCAAACAATTATACCATGGCTTGCCGCGCAAAAGTGGACAAAAAAGACACTTCAAATTGACAAATTTATTAAGGGAAGATAGACTTTTTTTTCATTGAAAGTTACCTATCTAATCAAAGTACCGACGTACCTTAATATGTATGATATAAAAAAGACATTTTAATTTTTTTTCAAATACTATTTAAACCTGCTTTATCAAATACCTGTTCCTATTTGTATTTTTGCACAATATCTAGATCCAAAGAATGAAAAAGCTACTGACGTTAATACAAGCGGCTGTCTTGCAGTTCAATGTTCTGTGCCGCCGAATTTCACATTTTACTATGAAGAAGATTGTTCTCTTCTTTATAAACCATTTTGTGACATGACAGGTACGTTATTCTGCTCATTTTAAATAACCTAGCTTAACTTCAAATTAATGTCTATGCACTGACATTATGTAACATTTTTTGATACTTGATTAATATTAAATTCAGTTACTTTCAGATTTATACACTTATCATAGTTCACTAAATGCTTTATATTATGCCTCAGTTTCAAACACATCGGCCACTTGGATGGAATCAATGCGTATTTGTAGATCAACGTTATCTTTGCCTGTTCTAACTGAGGAAATATTTCTGCATGATATCAACAAGACTTGTAAGGCAATTGGTGAAAACAGGACTGAAAGATATTGGCTTGGTGTGGCAAAGGAAAAGTACATCGGGTTTGACAAAGGCAAGTGATAAGTTAAATGTGTTTTGAATGGACGCTTTGTTAAAAGGTGTTATTCAAGTTTAGGTAAGCTAAATGCCCAAATGAACTATGCTGAAAAACGTTCTGACCTTCAGTCTGTCTATTTAACAGTCTGTTAACGTGATCTATTTTTAAAGAATTTATGCTGTTGAAAAGATTGAGGAAGACATTGTCCACATAAAAACTGGTTTGATGGACAACAGAGTATGTTCATTTTTTTTCCATTTAACTAAATTCAAGATATCAAAAAAAGTGTTAAGTAAGATGCTCTGCTTTGGAAACTGTTACAATGATATCAACAGTCTGTTTCAAGTCAACATTGCACAATTATTTGGTCGATATACAGACCTTATAAGCAAATACATCTGTGATTAAGGGAAATGTTACCTGAAATTTTTTCAGAAAAATGTTAGGCCACTATTTTCCAATTACATGTATATGTTTACAAATCTTTCCGGATACCTGATGATGATAAGGAGCACACGGCGAATGTGACCAGTCGGCAGGGGATAGTTACTCCTCTAGGGCACCTGAACTTAGCTTTGTTGTTTTAATAGATCCGTTTCTGTTCTCTCTCTCTCTCTCTCTTTAATAATAGTGAAAGGGTATGACAATGTATTATAAAAACAATCTTTCCTGTTGAAGAAAAAAAAAACAAAAACAAAAAAAAAAACAAGATGTGTTTGTGAAACACTGATGCCCCCGTATGGCAACATAGCAAAGATTTAACTTTTCTTAAATGCAAATTTAATTAATTGGTACCAAAAGTAGGATATCCTCACTGGAAAACAATTGTGAAATTTGAAAGTAGGCCAATGTTAAAGGTTTTTCAATAAGTACAAAAATCTCCAAGGTCAAGGTCAAAAGGTCAAGGTAATTGGTATCCAATGAAAGGTTTTGCCACATAGAATACTTATGTAGAGTATGAAAGCCCTAGCCCTAACCGTTCAGAAGTTATGACCAAGGTTAAAAAAAATTTAAAGTAGATCAAACTCCAAGGTCAAAGGGTCAAAGTTCTTGCTAGCAAATGAAAAACCTTGTCACAAGGATTAAATATGTAAAGTATGAAAGCACTAGCTCTAACCCTTTAAAGTTATGGTCAAGGTTTGCTTTTTTAAAGTAGGTCAAACTCAAAGGACAAGGTCAAAGGGTAAAAGTGCTTGGTATCCAATGAAGGGTCTTTTCACAAGGATTACATATATGAAGTATGAAAGCCCTATTTCTTACCGTTTAAAAGTTATGGCCAAGGTTAATGTTTTTTTCACAGGAACGGAAATCTACAAGATGAGGGTCAAAGGTTCAAGTTTGTAGGTATCCAATGAAAGACCTTACAACAAAAAATACATATATGAAGTATATGGCGAAAGTAAAAGTTTAAAATTTTGATGTAAAAGTGGGTCAAACTCCAAGGTCAAGGTCAAAGTGTCAAATTTGAAAGTACTCAAAGAAAGGTCTTGTCACAAGGAATACACATGTGAAATATGAACGTCATGGCTCCACTAAATCAAAAGTTATGGGCAAGGTTAAGTTTTTGCGGACAAAAAGACAGACAGACAGACAGAGAGACAGCTAGACAAACGGACAGAGAGTCAGATAGACAGAGAAACAGCTAGACAGACGGACGGACACGACAAAAACTATATACCCCCGAAACTTCGTTTACGGGGGCATAAAAATAATTGATAGCTTTCCTCCAAATCACTGTTTGTTTCCAAGTCTGTCTAGTAGTATAGTTGTTTGCAATCTTATAATTGTTAATAATAGTGATCTTTATACTTATTATTATGGGGAAAAGATTGTTGAATATTAATTTTTCTAATTGACTAGAGGACACCGTCATCAACAATCAAGACAAAGTTTTTTTCATCGACTGTTTTATATGCGACAGGACTGCCAAGAGCAACAATGATTGCTACGTCATATCCTGTGAAGAGCAACTGAATGTCACAGGATTATGTTCAGAAGTACACGTATTTTACTTTCAAGAATACTTATGTTTGGTATATTTTCTATCATGAAAAGTAACTAAATATATTACTGATTCTACAAGTTTCTCCCTGTTTTTTTTTTTTCTTAAAATTTCTTTTGGACATGTAGATAAAACAAGCAAAAACAACAGTAATAGGAAGAACAACAAATGAAACCAACATGCCTGAAACAGGAACATGGCAAATTACTACAGTAGCTGATATATCATTAGTGATAACAGGGACACAAGGCATAACAAAAAATACAAAAATCAGTGAGTGTTAATCTTCACATAATTTTATCATTTGCATTTCTTTAGCAGATATAATATAGATACAATGAACAGTATTTAAGCTCAAAGAATATTTCAATGATATCAATCGGGAGAAATCTGAAACATCAAAGGTGGTTTTATTATTATGACGTTTTCATCAATTATTCTTTATCTATGGTCTAAAAAGTATCAAATTTATCTTCGGTATATTGATCATTTAGATAAAAATATATTCTTAAGGACAGATGATACAAACAAACTTTTGTTCAAAAATTTGAAAATTACCACTTGAGTCATGTTTTAATGAGTAAAATGAACAAGTATCACTTCTTAATTTTTTAATTCAAGCTTTCACAAAAATAGGATTTGAAGTGAAAAATATTTGTATAAATTAATAAGGATGGTTTCAGAGAGATAGAATTTTGAACATCATTGAAGATTTACAATTTCTTTATATTCTAGAGATTTATTATTTGCATTAAATTCAATTATATTAGGCCAAAAAGTATACGCCAATCCAGGCATAAATTTTTTGTTTGTATCATCCGTCCTTAAATAGATACAATTATTCATTAAGCATTTTCATTCTTACTAGGTAAAAAAGAAGTACTTCAAATTGTCATCTACCTGGTGGATGCTGTATTACTAGGAGGGATCATCTTCACTCTACGTCTCATATATCTTCGGTTGGTGATATTTATGGTTTATGCAAACAAACTTTTTAAAGTCATTTTTGCAAAACATATATCAGTCGTTTTCTTAGAAACACGCCATCCTTTTTAAAGATTACTCTTTACCGTTATGTTGGCATTAAACAGTTAAAGTACCGTTTTATAAAATTACCTTGTGCAGCTGATAAATAAGTATAAAGTTATTTTATAAATATTGGCATATATAAACACATGAATACTGTCCTGAAATATTAGCTTTGTTTGGGCGAGGATGATAAAAGGTGATAGAGGGAGAAGCTTGTCGAATCCTCCATTAGGTTTTTGACCCCAGCCCAGATATGGCTATTCCAAGACAGTTGTCATGTGTTTTGTTTATTCTGCAAAGTTCTTTTACATTTGACTTCTAAAATGGCTTTCCAACAAATCTAGAAATACGTCTGCAGTTGAAATTATGTCACCATGGGGTAGACAATGCAATATTGCTATGAAAAGCGTCGGAATACATAAAGCTCTCTTTCACCATGGTTGTGGTTTATTAGATACCTTTATCCGGTAAATACAAGCTGTGATTGCAGAATAAATTGAATTTTGCTTGGTCTGTAAACTTTTTTTTCTTATTTTCTATTTTTTTTCATAACTACACTATTCAGAAAGAAAAAAATTAAAAAGAAGCAAAAGATGAAACCAAATCAAAGCCTTAGAAACGCGGGATATTCAGACGTCGAGATCAGTACCGATGTAGATTTACAGGAAGTCACTGGAATAGTTAATCATAATTACTTTGTCCTTGAACTCCAGGAACAACCCCTTCAATCAACGGATACTACAATTAACAAGGAGACGGAAAGTCCATATGTTGACACAAAAGACGGGATTTATGATCATCTCAGAGAACACAGAGAAAAGAAAGTCAACGAAAAAAATACCAGTGACGAGGCAAACAAAAGTATTTCGATATCAGATTACCCATACACTGAATGCGTAGAAGTGTATGATCAACTCCGAGATAAAATTGTATCAATGGAAGATTATACTGAGGATATCCACAATCATGTTTTTGCAACAACCAGTACAGCTTCAGTTCATGCTACTGCAGATAGATGTAATCAATACAAAATGCACAGTACCTTTGACAAAGTATCGAACATCAGACCTGATGCTACATATATCAATCTTCCACACGAGAATGGAAATAACATTTCTGAAAGATTGGATGAAGATCATCCATATTTCATTCTGACACCACAAACTAATATAATTATAAAATATGTAGAAAAAAATCATTAATTCATTCTCAAAAAATCAGATTTCAATAAAAGTTCATTCTAGTAAAATTAGTGTATTACCAATCAATTATAATATGCTTTTATTACTTTTTTACCAACCACCTTTTCTTCCAACCACCTCTGTTCTGACTTCTTATTTCTTTAATCGGAGTCACGTCAGGGTTTGGAAAGTATTAACCATTTGTATTATTTATTATACAATTTTCATTGATACTGAATAGCTGTGATGTAGAATATTACACGATCAGTAATACACCTTTTTAAAAGAACTGATGTAGTATACTGATTGTTTTGTTCATAACAGTGTTTCAAACTCCAACTTCCCTTTGCGATAACTTAAAACCATAAATATAATTTCTGAATGTATATTGCAAATAAATTAATGAAATGAAACCTTGTGTATTTCTGACTTAAAATAAATAATAATATAATAACGGATACTGATCTTCAGAGTGTTATGCACATGACTAAAAAAATATTACTGCTGTAAAACTTGTAACCTTTTATTTTTAGACGGTGGCTATATATAGCCACAGGCTATTGCTGCTGGTCTGGGCGATGAATGTAAACACACGGGGACCCTAGCGGAGATTTTTGTAGAGTCAAAATAATGAAAGTAGACTTGTTTCCATGTTTGAAAATAGAATGTACATAATTAACAAATACTTTCAAGTTATTTCAAAGACATTTCGTTGATGGACACAAAGCCTAATTCCTGATATTTGCCGTTATCAATATTTCTCGCCTCATGAATATTCATTGGGTTACGTCGAACTACAACTACATTTGTAATTTGTACACAAACCGACTCGTATATCCGTATGCAAACTACAAAAGTCAATTCGTACAATTTTTTTTCGTTTTTTCTCACATGTGCGAAAAGTCATATCGTACACACATTGTGTTAGTTTAGAATTACTATTATTGACAGAATATTTGATGAAAAATATTGTAGACAATTGTTTCACTTTGTAACTCCGAAATCAAATAGTTATAATTGCTAACCAACACAAGCGCGGCTGTTTCTTAAATACTATTTTGTGGAATCTATATATATTTACAATAAAAGTTAAGTAGTTTATTGTAATTTAACTGAGTCTTTTGATTGTTTGAATTAATTTCATATAATAGTTAATAAAAGGGTTGTTAGGGGGTATATACGATGCCATAAAATTTGCTAAGTTTATTACCATTCTATTTTTAAAATATAAGACTTTGCCTGATCTCCGACACAAAAACTACTTGTATTTAACGGATAATAATTAGTCAAACCAATAATTACAAAGACTGTAACGGACAAAAGTTACTCATATATTTCATTCCTATTTAGAAACTCTATTGTGCCTCTAATGAAATTTACCCTTTAAAAAGTGTACAAAAAAGGTACTCAAATACATGTGCATGAAATGCTACTACCGTTAAAATCGTGGACAAAGCGTTTTTCTCGAATAATGGGCGCCGTAAGATGAAATTTTCAGCAAGTATTTATTTATCATATTTTAATGTATTTGAATTCTTTTGATATAATATATACAGAAATTTAATATTTTACTAGCATTAATATGTTTTAATGTACATTTACACGATGAAAAAAATCATTTAAAAAGAAAAAAATAAATCACGAGTATTATTTCGAAATAAAAGTATCAAATAGATTTTGGTAAACATTATCCAATTTTTATATTCACTATCTTTTGTGTCGTCTTTTGGAAAATTTCAGGGCATTTGCTTAATTTTTTGCGGTTTACCAAGAATCCGAAATGGGAAAGTGGTAAACACAACACACGAAAAAAACATTCGATGACGTTACTACGCACATGAAAGCAGTTCAGTTTTTTCATCTTTAGTGTACAAGGGAAATGGGAGTTTTCACAGCGAAATCGTTATTTTAAAATCAAATCCATGGGTAGAACAAACAGCTATAGGAATAGCGAAAGACGCTGTCAATGTCGACAGCCAATACATAAGATAGCCTATTTAGTTGAATAATAGTAAAAATATTGTCCAAAAAAATCTTCAGAAGGTCCCATTTGTGCTCAAGATTGGTCCCTGACTGTTATTTAAAGAATTAAGGGAAATTCAACTGTGTGCATCAGTAAAATTCCTTATATTAAGAGGGAGATATCCAATTTGTTTTTAGGAAAGAGGAAAAGACACTTTGACATTATCATGCAAGTGTCATAAGGCGACACAATACATTGTATGAAATCTTATAATTTGTTTACTTATGCATATATCAGTTTGAAGTTTGGTATGTTTTTTGATGAAAAATGTACTTAAGAGTAGTTAAAATTTTAGATCACAGTGAGAATTTATACTACTTTACTTTTTAGTACAAAAGTATGAATTAAAATACATGTACATATATTTTGAAAAAATGAAATAAACTTTTATAATTTCCGTTTCATTTTTAAAATATTTAGAACATTTTATCTTTTTAATGCCAGTTGTCTTTTGACGTAGCGGCTCTGGAGTCACGGACCTGAAGGAGTCCATCCTTCTGTGTCGCGGATTTGACTCCCACTGCGGGACACGCCCTTAATTCATATCCCGTGTCGCTGTAATTGCTAGCCAGAAAAATATCCCTCGCTGCTCAAAATTTGTTCTCGAAATGGGCGTTAAACAAACAAAATAATTCATGCCACTGTTTTTCAGTACTCACAGTACTTTGATTACATTTTTTGTGCTAGAGAGGGGGTCAAGAAATTGGCACATTTTCAACCGCATGCGTCATATAAGGTTGAAATATGTGGGATGAAAAATATCTCTGTCAAATAATGACTTTTTGTATTTTTTTTTTAGTGGGGCGGGGGGGGGGGGGGGGGGTACAGATTTTTTTTGTTTTTGGTCTTGGAAAAAATTAGAAAAACATTAGGTTTAAATGTTTATGAAAGTAGATTTAATTTCAGATATAAGGTACATAATCACACAGTATACCGGTAAAGTGCTTCAAATTTAAGCTTTTACTTTTAACTAAGATACATTGAACAGTGAAGGGTATTTATCATCCAAATGCTTACTCTGACACGTTCTTTTTAAAGGTCTTATCCAAAACACCAATAACGTTCACTTCAAAGCGCATAGTTCTTGATGTACTTTCACAATTATTGACTTGGATCGTTCAGGGGTTGAACTCTCTTTCGTATGAGCTACTAAGGTCCAAAGTATAGGATCTAAATTTTAGCCCTCAATCGGCAAGTAGCGTCGTCTCAATATTAATTTAGTAAAATAAATCTAGAAGAGACGTTAAGCAAGCAAGCAAACAAACAAAGTTTTTAACATTTATACATGTATCTAATTATGTTCACAATTTAAAACAAATTTTAATCGTTAGAAATAATTCAAAACATCGGAGATTTAATTGAGACATCAGCCGAACATGTAAGCGTGGATACACCGTCAGTTAAAGTATTGTTATTTTGCACAACAGCTTACGTTTGGATTTTACAATGCATTGAGTTCATGAACCTCTTGATTCCTTGAAGAATTATGCCTTTGGTATTCTCCGATGCTGAAGGAGAATTCCTCGTTCCTGGGGCAGTGTAAATTACCCTTACTCTTCCTGTCCACGTACCTACAGTCAGGCTAATGACACATATTTGCAAAAATAAAAAAAAAATCCTGATAGAGAGTATCTTTTCATCTGCAACTTTCTTTCAAATTCGTTTTAATTCATTCCCCTGGTACAATTTGAAAGCGTTCTCACAGTTATTTTCAGGAAGACTTGGCATCGCTCATTGAAAAGAAACGATATTATTTTGCTTTCAGAATAATGCTTCAATACCTAGGATGCAGAGAAACAAATTCTTACATTCCCAAAATATTATTATTATTTTGAGGGGGATGAGTTAGAAATGCAATTGACGAATCTGTTTATATGCTAATGGGACTTTGGTCCGGTAAGCGGCACATATGACGTAATGAAACACGGCAATCAAAATGTCAGCACGGCTAGATACTGTTATCATGGTTATAAGACCCATGACATCAAAAATAAGATTTCAAAGTCTATTTGATGATGATAAGAGTGTGAGAGTTTTAAGAATCTCTTATATATGAGGAGTTGGTGGACAGATGCTTCTTAATAAAGTCCGTTATAGCAAATGTGTACAACAATTCTTAAGTAAATATACAAAAAATAAAGCAATGAAAACTATTTTATGAACACTTTGTATATGCAAGCCTCATGGCCCAGTATGACGTAATGCTTATTTCACGACAACGTCAAAAATATGGATTTTGAATTTTTATCAAATGTACATGGACACACGCTTATTTTATTTTTTTGCCACACTGCCAAGTGTGTACAAAAATGTTTTTATTTAGACCATAATTATGTTCCCCAAACGAAGTTGGGGAACATATTGTTTTTACTCTGTTTCTTATTATTATTATTATTTTTCTTCTTCTTCTTCTTCTTCTTCTTCTTCTTCTTCCTGGGTACTTTTTTGTCCGGGAATGATCTCGTAAACTATACATCCGACTAAGGTGAAATGTTTTTAGGGTCAGTAGACATGTTATGTAGATTTGCGGAACGAAGGTCATTTTGCGCGCACGTGCTTGCAAGAGCGTGCACGTGCAACATGTGAAATGACCGATTTAATTGATATAGGCGTAACTTTTAAAATTTTTGATGAAATGCTTTGAAACCTATAATATAAGGATATATTAGAAGTATAGACAATATGACATGGTTAAAATAGCAAGATCTCACGCGCATGCACGTGCGCTTTGCTCTGATTGGCTGAAACTAAAGTCTCAATATCTTTCTTGTTTTTTGACGAAATCCTTTGAAATTTTGAAAATTGCCATGCATTAGGATATTCTACAACATGATATGTAGCAATTATCATGAAAACACGTGCATGCACGTGCGCTGCAATCTGATTGGCTTAAACTTTAAATAGCTATAACTCCCTTGATTTTCAACCAAACAGGATGGGATTTAGAACATAGATAGATATACTGGATTACTACAAGAAATTATGGTCACCATGCACATGCATACACGTGCATGTACGTGCGCTGCAATCTGATTGGCTGAAACTTTAAACAGCTATAACTCCCTTGGTTTTCAACCAAAAGGGGTGAGATTTAGAACATAGATAGATGTAACGGACATCTTCAAGAAGATATGGTCACCATGCTCATGTATGCACGTGCGTGCATGTGAAATGAGCAAAATAAAAAAAAAAAACACTTGAATGAGCGAA